TTTTTATTATCGGCGTCTAACGACTGATTCTAAATTTACGATTGCGTTTTTTGCCATGATAAAAATGTCTGACTTTGTTGAAATTAAAAATTACCGAAATGAAATCTAGAATGTGAAAGAAAAATGCATGATCGTAAATTTGCTCCACGAGGAGCAATCGAGGTCAGACGCCGACCAAATTACCGCTAGAAAGGAATATAGAAAAAAAAACACATTAAAAACAATTATTTTTGAATAATTTTAATAGGAAAACTTACAACTTCGTGGCCGGCATCCACCAGCGCATCCGCAATTCTTCCATTCGAAATCAGATGACTTCTGCTAATTGCTGGACTGTATACAAGCACTTTTCCAGCCTCGCCTAGGCCGAATAAAAGTGCACATATTGTACACAAATGTTTTAAATCGACCATCACCGGCCGACAATTTGGAATGAAAAAGAAAATGGGAGAAATTGCAAGTTTTGCTGTAATTGAAAAAAACGGGGTGCTTTAATATAACGGAACGTTTTGTAAAAGAAGACACTGATTCATATCGAACTATCGCATTTCAGACGTCTAAAAAACGTAGAACATCGAGAATGACATTGAACGAATTGATATCAAATAAGGTCGATGTTCGATAATATGATAACGAAACAATTACTGGATAAATAGTCACTCAAACTTATCATTTGCTGTCTTATCAAATAAAATATTTTAGAAGAATTGAAAACTATAAACCATGGTTTTTCGACTAGAAACTACGGGTGTTTAAAATTGTCTGTCTACCAAAGGAATTTGCATCGAAAAAAAAAATGGAAACCCAATTATAATATGAAATATTTCTGTAATAGTTAAAATCATTGATGCGCGTTTTTGTTGGCATTTGAATGTTTTCAGTCCAAAAATTTTGATTTTTGTTTGTTCCTTTTATGTGAGGTAGAATAGCACTTGATGTTATCATATTGATAGTTTTTTTTTAAATAACTGGCATTCGATCAAAATGATTTTATGAAATTATTAAATACACAGTTTTCATATGTAGATCAAATATTGGGCCAAAATTTGAAATTAAAAACAACGAAAAAATATCGAAAATAAGTAATGGTATTGAACGAATCGACTGAATAAAAACGTATTTTTCTTGAAACATTCATATTTAATTTTTTTCTTTTAAAATTTCTCTCTTGCAACACAAAAATTATAATTTTTTCCACAAACATTCAACCCATTATTAATTTGTTTGAATCTTATTCAGACAACAAAACAAATTATTTGTAAGTACAAAATTTTGAGAGAAAAGCATTCGGGAAGAATAAGCTGGCCTGGTTCGTTGTGAGCATGAGCTCGTCGAGCCATAATCAATATTCGCATTCGAATAGTGTTGAATTGATTAGTTCGATTGGATTAGTGTCAGTTACTATTCAAATAATTGCGTCTCCAATATTCATATGGACTGCAAAAATGGGAAATCGATGGTCGAAAATTCTATTTGTTTTCATTACTCTTGTTAATATTGCGAGTTCTGCGATTGATTTTTTTATTGAAAAGGTTTCGATTTGTATTTTCATCGATTCGATTCTATTTTCAGATCGACAATACAAGCAATGCTCAAACTGTCATGATTCGATCGATTCTTTTCTTCATTCGATCATTCCTAATTATTTATTTTTTAATTACCTTGATATTTATTAAGAATCCACTAACACATCGATGTATTCTCATCAAAACTCTCGGAACGCTTGTAGAATAATTTCAAATAAATTTCAATGAAATGATTCCGAAGTTTTCAGATCGTCTATCCTTTGGTGACATTTTCAGTATTCATCTCGAAATTGGTTCGAGATTCTTTGAGTCGCTCTTCGCATGATATGGCCCTTATTTATTTCTCGCTGGTCCCTTTCATCGATATTCTATTTATGGTCATTTTCCTACGTCAACTCTTATGTTGTGATGCATTGAATGGCTCGTTCGCAACGACGAATTCTGTTCATGTTGACGACATCAATTTGAGCATGAGCAAACTCGCGAGGAGCACCATCTCCACACAAGCTACTGTTGCATCCGTCAATCTTTAATATATGCTACATGCTTGAATTATTAATTATTGAGGTTTGATTATTATATTGAGCAACATTTCTGGTTGTTATAAATCATTTATTGAAAGCGTATTTCATTGATTACACTGAATTTTCGCGAGCGAATCAAATTAGTTTTATATTTCGTGGCACATTGAATTTAGAAAAAAAAAACTATTAGTATCGCAAAACCAAGTATTTCTTCCCTTTTTAGGTGTGTAATATTATTTGGTTTGTCATATGTATCTCATCGAACCAATAATGAAATTTAGGTTTTTAATCATTGTGCAACACTGATAGATATTTGAGCGCTACCTACTAATACAGGGTTCGCATTCCTTCTGAAATATGTAATTGTTGAGGACAATAATACGAACGTCTTACTTTTTTGAAACTTTGCGGGCTGTGACGAATTTTCTGTAATCTGGGAAGCTCAAAATCATAACGAAAGCATTAATACTAGAATGGGTTACCATAATAATTAACATGATTCTTGACCATTCTAAAAAATTTAAAATCATGTTAATTAAGTCATTAAGAAAAAAATGCCTTGTGCTCCACGATACTCTGTTACCAGAAATAGCATAACAAATAAGCATGGAACAATGAGAATTGGAGTGACACTAGCCTATAAAAAATATACATTCAGCAACCCTCCGTGGTTCTTCTAACTTGGAATATTAAACTTCTCAATGCTGACCGGTGCTTTGATAATGTTGAACTCGATTAATTTCTCACATTATTTTTCAAAAATTTCAGCATGTGAGCTGTGGTAATACTGATTGCCAGAATACTCAAATTGCAGCCCAAAATCATCAATGAAAATGAAATAAGTACCATTCCATTTATTTCATATATTGCGAATTCGGGTAGATTTCTGAATTGATTTTCCAAATGCGGATATCTCTGAAAAACTTTTTTTAAGAAACTGAAATATTGACTAATGGAAATATATTGTCCAAGTCAAACGACTTGACGAAATTTAAAAAATAATTGGCTATGTGCCAATGCGTCTCGAGGCAGCGAGATGGTAGCGTACGCGCATTAAATATTCAGTCAACGAAAGATTTAAATCTACATTGATTTCGCGAATTTAAAGGCCCCGCCTTCTTTTAGTCGTTTGACGCCGACAATAGAATTTATTACAATTCGCAAAGACATCTCGGATATCTCTGAAAACGCAATAAAAAAATTAAGGACTGTGGATTAATCATGCTTTTTGGCAATTCGTAAACACATCTAGTCAAGAGAAAACGTCTGCGGGTGGGCTTACTAGCATTATTTTCTCTGATGCTAATTTATAAAAACTGCTCTCTCTGTGATATTTTCGAATCTTCGTTGACTTGTACAACGCCAAAGTTACCGTGTATTATGTTGTTTTATTCATGTGATTTTTGCGTGTCTTCATCATGCCTGCCAAACCAGCCCCGATATAATGAGAGTAAGGGGTATTTTTTTTTGGTAGTGGTAAGTTGATTCCAGTCTAATTATGCACGTTTGGGGTCCCAAAAAGACATCAGCCGTTGACATTTATTTTCAACGACACTTTATATTTGGCGTAGCCAAGGGAAATCCTTGGAGTGGTAAACTCGAACGATCAGCTACTTCCAAGTAGAAAATTTCATTTCGGGAAATGCATTTCAAATGCATTTCAAAATTAAAATGAGAATCAGCTCCTGTCAACAAGGAATGTTATAACAGGTGAAATAAATCTATTTGATTATTGCAAAAGTTGTCAAATTTAGTATGAGATTCGGACCATGTAAGTAGGCAGATTCAGATCTGAAAATAGAATCGAATCGATGAAAATACAAATCGAAACCTTTTCAATAAAAAAATCAATCGCTGAACTCGCAATATTAACAAGAGTAATGAAAACAAATAGAATTTTCGACCATCGATTTCCCATTTTTGCAGTCCATATGAATATTGGAGACGCAATTATTTGAATAGTAACTGACACTAATCCAATCGAACTAATCAATTCAACACTATTCGAATGCGAATATTGATTATGGCTCGACGAGCTCATGCTCACAACGAACCAGGCCAGCTTATTCTTCCCGAATGCTTTTCTCTCAAAATTTTGTACTTACAAATAATTTGTTTTGTTGTCTGAATAAGATTCAAACAAATTAATAATGGGTTGAATGTTTGTGGAAAAAATTATAATTTTTGTGTTGCAAGAGAGAAATTTTAAAAGAAAAAAATTAAATATGAATGTTTCAAGAAAAATACGTTTTTATTCAGTCGATTCGTTCAATACCATTACTTATTTTCGATATTTTTTCGTTGTTTTTAATTTCAAATTTTGGCCCAATATTTGATCTACATATGAAAACTGTGTATTTAATAATTTCATAAAATCATTTTGATCGAATGCCAGTTATTTAAAAAAAAACTATCAATATGATAACATCAAGTGCTATTCTACCTCACATAAAAGGAACAAACAAAAATCAAAATTTTTGGACTGAAAACATTCAAATGCCAACAAAAACGCGCATCAATGATTTTAACTATTACAGAAATATTTCATATTATAATTGGGTTTCCATTTTTTTTTTCGATGCAAATTCCTTTGGTAGACAGACAATTTTAAACACCCGTAGTTTCTAGTCGAAAAACCATGGTTTATAGTTTTCAATTCTTCTAAAATATTTTATTTGATAAGACAGCAAATGATAAGTTTGAGTGACTATTTATCCAGTAATTGTTTCGTTATCATATTATCGAACATCGACCTTATTTGATATCAATTCGTTCAATGTCATTCTCGATGTTCTACGTTTTTTAGACGTCTGAAATGCGATAGTTCGATATGAATCAGTGTCTTCTTTTACAAAACGTTCCGTTATATTAAAGCACCCCGTTTTTTTCAATTACAGCAAAACTTGCAATTTCTCCCATTTTCTTTTTCATTCCAAATTGTCGGCCGGTGATGGTCGATTTAAAACATTTGTGTACAATATGTGCACTTTTATTCGGCCTAGGCGAGGCTGGAAAAGTGCTTGTATACAGTCCAGCAATTAGCAGAAGTCATCTGATTTCGAATGGAAGAATTGCGGATGCGCTGGTGGATGCCGGCCACGAAGTTGTAAGTTTTCCTATTAAAATTATTCAAAAATAATTGTTTTTAATGTGTTTTTTTTTTCTATATTCCTTTCTAGCGGTAATTTGGTCGGCGTCTGACCTCGATTGCTCCTCGTGGAGCAAATTTACGATCATGCATTTTTCTTTCACATTCTAGATTTCATTTCGGTAATTTTTAATTTCAACAAAGTCAGACATTTTTATCATGGCAAAAAACGCAATCGTAAATTTAGAATCAGTCGTTAGACGCCGATAATAAAAATTAAAGCATTTTAAAGCATAATACGTATTTGTAATTTTAAGGTAATGCTCATAGTAGAATATGAAAAGCTGACTTCGTTCACGGGTACAAAAAAAGCGAAAGTGATCAAGATGGAGGGAATTTGTAAGTTATTATTCTATGAAAATAATATCACAATTGCACTAGGCATAATTCAGATTTTGAAAAAAAACCATTTCAAAATCATTTCAAAACATTTAAAACTTGTTTTTAACCATTTTTTTTTAGTTGAAACAAAATTTTCCAAAATTGCAGCGAATAAGTTCATGGAAGATATGGAAGGTGTTAGCGAGCATATGCTAACTCACAATCGGTTAGGTTTCATTGAAAGAGCATTCTTTGAAGTGACACTTAACGAGATGTGTGATGGTAATTGCGCATTTGCCAATTTCAAATATCACATATGCCTATATTTCCAGCCATCTTACAACACAGAGATCAATTAGAGCAATTGAGAAAATACAATTTTGATGTGGCATTTAGTGAGCAAATTGATTTGTGCGGCGTCGGTGTTATTAGGTTCGTAATATTGCGTGATTGAAAAGCCATAGGTATTGATATGTATTTAGATATTTGGGCATTGAAAACCATCTCTGGATCTCGACAACTCCTATTATGGATGCAGTGAGCTACAATCTTGGTATAACAAAGTGCTCAACATTCTGTGAAATTGATGTTCAGGAATTCCCCAACCAACTTCCTATGTTCCAACAGTCGAAGAAAATGATAACGGAGATGTGATGAGCTTTAGCCAACGATTATTCAATTTGTATATGTACTTCGGCACAATTGCAGTCCACCGGTTTGGAACTGATCGAACAACTGAAGTGAGAGTGGCTGATCAATTCAAACATTCCGTTTTTTTTTTATTTCAGATATTCCGAAAGTATGTTCCCGATTTTCCAAATGTTCGTGAGATTGCTGCAAATTCTTCGCTTTGCTTCGTAAATTCTGACGAGGTTCTTGATTTTCCTCGGCCGACCATATCGAAAACAATATTCATCGGAGGACTCGGTGTTCCGAATGATGTCAAACCACTTGATGAGGTATTCCAGACCTCTTTCAATCTCACATATTATTCAATTTAAGAAATTTACAAAAATTATGTCAAAAGGCAAGAAAGGTGTTGTGGTGGTTTCGCTGGGTTCGATTGTCGATTTTCGAGCGTTGCCTAATCATGCCAAATTTGGAATTTTAAAGGCTATCGAAGAGATGAGCGATTATCACTTTTTAGTCAAAATTAATACGGATGACAAAGAAACGAGCGACCAATTTACCGCGGTGAAAAACGTCGATTTTGTTACTTGGCTTCCACAAGTTGATCTTCTTGGTATACATTTCCCACATTTTCGACATTTTCTGACAATAATTTCTAGCGCATCCTCGTCTTAAATTATTTGTGATGCATGGAGGCATAAATGGATTGATTGAGACAGCTCTTCGCGCGGTTCCAATGGTCGTCATTCCAATTTTCGCTGATCAATTCCGAAACGGGCGAATGGTTGAGAAACGCGGAATCGGAAAGGTTCTATTTGCATTAATTGATAATTAAAATTGATTTTGAATATTCTCCCAAATTTTTCTTTCAGGTTCTCTCAAAATTGGACATTAACTATGAAAACTTCAAATCAACTGTTGAACATGTCTTAAATACTCCAACGTTAAATAAATAATCAATATTTCTTATCAAACTCTCAAAATTTCAGGTATAAAGAAAATGCAATTAGAATAGCTGAAATGATGCGAAATAAACCATTTTCTCCAGAAGAGCGTCTTGTCAAATGGACACAGGTAATTAATTATTTGAGCATATTTTTTCTAAATATATTTCGTCAGTTCGCAATTGAGAATGGGGTCCTTGAAGAACTGCATGTCGAAGGATCGCGTATGAATTCGATTGTTTATTTCAATCTCGATGTGTTTGCTTTCGTTTTTTCTGTCATATTTCTTGCTGTATATTTGATTATTTTAGTTTTTAGATGTTTGTGTAGCGTTAAACGTGTAGATATCAGGAAAAAGAATAATTAATAAAATCAGTTTTGAAATGAATTTATATGCACATTAAAAAAGAGAGTTTGACACCCTGGGGTTCATATTTACAAACAATTGGTCATAGAATTGGATGAACGAGACGTCTACTTTCTTCTGCAACACTGTCCATTTCCACACGGGGAATAATTAGACTGGCAAGAGCACGAAGATGACTGTTGTTGCTGGCATGGCATCTGTGCTGGTTGAGCAGCAGCACAGGACTGCGAACAGCTCTGAGAGCAAGCTGGAGCGCATTGAGCAGCTGGCTGTTGCTGGGCAACGCATTGCTGTTGGCAGGAGTTTTGGCATTGTGGCACACATTGGGCAGATTGAGCCGTGCTTGCTTCAAGGACAACGGTGACGGTTTGCGGAGCAGATGGTGCAATTGGTGCAACTGGGGCAGCCTGGCAAGCATTGGTGCACTGTTGGGTGCATTGGGCAGTGCACGACGACTGTGATTGAGGGGCACACTGTTGTTGCTGGCATTGCTGCTGGCACTGGGGAACACATTGCGCCGAGACTTCAAGCTGGATGGTCACGATCTGTGGAGCTGGAGCACATTGTTGCTGGCACTGTTGCTGGCACTGAACAACTGGTTGCTGCTGCTGGACACACTGTTGCTGACATTGGGGAATGCATTGAGATTGCAGGACAACTGGCTGAGGAGCTGGCTGAGGAGCTGGCTGAGGAGCTGGCTGAGGAGCTGGCTGAGGAGCTGGCTGGGAGCATGATGGCGTGCAGGAAGTCTGGCAAGATCGCTGGCACTGCGATCCGGAATTTTGGCACTGTCGACCACAGCTCTGCTCACAAGCCGAAGCACATTGAGAAACCGGCACTTGGATGACTTGCGGCTGAGAAACTGGCTGAGCACACGAGCAAGATTGCTGTTGCTGAACCGGAGCATTTTGGCAATTACAGCTGAACTGCTGCGGTTGATATTGCTGACATGAACACGACGCCTGGGGAGCTGGAGCACATCCGCATTGCCTCTTTTCTCGAAGAGCACCTCCCTAAAAGGAAGTTGTTTTACATTATATTCCCAATTTCGGATAGCCACCTGAACAAGAAGAAGAGTGCTGAGAAGAGCAAGAGAAATTGTCGAGAAATGCATATTTCCTATCAATTTCCGAACACTCCTATCATTTTATACCACTGAAACCGGCAAGATTGCAAGTCTTCGCACTGTTTACCTTGCGTACAAAAAATCTCATGTATTGGTTTTACTCAGAGTTCTTCCGGTTATCGCTTCATATTTCAAGTAATCGAATTTTAAACACAGACATCCGACAGCAAACACATAGTTAAAAAAAGAATATAATAAAATATTAGATAAAATACGGCTCTAGCGCGCACCTTTTCAATATGAAATTTCTGCAATTTTTATTTTATCATTTTTGAAAATTGTTAAAACTGACACATTTTCAAAGAGTTAAGACACAAAAAAATTGAAGATGATGAAAAAATGCGCTAGAGCAGTATTTTATCGATTATTTAATTTAAGCCAATCGTTACGCGCTAGTCACTGGCGGATATTTATGATCCGACTCCTAATCCGGCGGCCGAAGAAACCGGCCCCGAAACCGGAGAGCATACCCAACTGACTTGTTGGTATTCGGCGCCTACGACGCCGCCAACTACTTTCTGAAAGAGTTGGAAAATATGCAACGAATGCGAATGATATAAATAGCGCATCACACAATGTCATGTTTCTCTCTTTTTAACGAAGTGAATTTACAAATGCGACTATTTTTTTGTATTTATTAAAAAGTTAATTCAACTTAATTATGGTGAAACGCTTGTAGTTATCCACCGTGCTTACGAGTTTTTTGAAACTAAAAATTAAGGTGAAAAAACTTCGAAAAAACTATATCCACCGTTTGCCTCTTGGTTCTGTGTCTCTCTTTCTTGTTGTTTAATTTTACTAAGTTTGTGCAACACTGGAAGTTATTTGAACGCTACCTACTAGTACCGATTTTGTCATATTTCTGAAATTAATGTTAAGAAGCTACAAAATGATCGCGTTACTTTTTCGATTTTACGCAGCTCAAGAAGAATTTTCGGTATTCCGGAAAGCTTGAAATCATAACGACAGCGTTGATACTAGAATGGGTTACAATGATAATTAGCATGATTCTTGACCATTCTAAAAAATTTAAAATCATGTTAATTAAGTCATTAAGAAAAAAATACCTTGTGCTCCACGATACTCCGTTACCAGAAATAGCATAACAAATAAGCATGGAACAATGAGAATTGGAGTGACACTAGCCTATAAAAAATATACATTCAGCAACCCTCCGTGGTTCTTCTAACTTGGAATATTAAACTTCTCAATGCTGACCGGTGCTTTGATAATGTTGAACTCGATTAATTTCTCACATTATTTTTCAAAAATTTCAGCATGTGAGCTGTGGTAATACTGATTGCCAGAATACTCAAATTGCAGCCCAAAATCATCAATGAAAATGAAATAAGTACCATTCCATTTATTTCATATATTGCGAATTCGGGTAGATTTCTGAATTGATTTTCCAAATGCGGATATCTCTGAAAAACTTTTTTTAAGAAACTGAAATATTGATTTAAAAAAATATCGAATTAAAAATAAATATAGAATTTATTACAATTGGCTAAGACATACGTTTCTTATAATTTCGTATGCTCTTTCTTTGCTCGGTTCACTTAAATAAAATGGAATACTGAAAAATAAGGGCAAGCAATTGAAGAATAGAGCGGATACTCGGAATAGTATATCTGAAAAGGTTTTTGATCCACCATATCGAACTATTGCATTATGCTTCCGCAAAAAGCAAACGGTTAGCGAATTGACTTGGATTCCCAAAAAATAAAATGTAACCGTCTTTAAAAATGGTAATAAATTAATTAATATGTAATGTTGAATGCAAACCATCAATCTATGACTACCAAAATTTTCGGCGAGTATTCCCGTTGAAAATCCAGCACAAATAGGAAATAAAGGAATTGGCTGCATTAGGAAAGTCATTTGAACATCGGCCAACAGACAGCATATCTAAACCGAAATTCGTATAATTATTTCGAATAATTGTGATTCCACTTGAAAATATAGCAAATAAAATCGGAACGAATCCATTTTTCCGCTTTTAAAAATAATGAGATATATTGCGAGAAAATTTACAAAAAGGCACACGAATCCAATACCATGATAATAATTTGATAAATAGGCAGGAGTTGAGAAATCAATTTGAATTGGCGGTTCTGACATCGAAAAATGAACAAATGATGTGGTGGCTATAAAAGTGGCAGCTGAAAAGTTATGAGCACTGAACATGTCCATGAATGATAAACATTAGTGATTCAAATGATTCTAGTGAATCAAAACCAATCAAATCAGATTCGAGAACATTGCAATTTCCTTCTCACACAGAGTAGCGCAGTGTGATCGGTACTCCGCTTGGAGGAAAGCGTCACGTCGAACAAAGTTTGACAATCGCCGGCTGATTACAATTTATTCAGGCATCTGGAAAACTGACACAGAATGCGGCTCTGCTGGGCCGGCATCATATGGTGTAGTTCAGTGGTTTCACATAAATTAGTGTATTGAGCTAATCACAGTTTATTAGATCATATAATCAACAAGTTGGGGCGTAAGGGACAGGTAATGAGGATACCTCAGTTACAATCGGGGGACAAGGTAAATACACATAACAAACAACTCACAATGCGAAGAACCGAATTAGAACAGTTGGACCAGTTACCAGCCAAAGAATCGTCGCGTTCGAATCATTCCTTCCGTGGCCCATGAAACGTGGCTCCGCTCTGGAATGGCCTGGGAAAAACTTCATCCATCTCAGCCACGGCCATCTCTATTCCTCGTCCATTTTGCATTCTGCGACAAAAACTATCTTCTAACGACATACTTCAAAAATCGGAATGACGACGAATGAATGATTTTAAGTTTTAGAAGTTCAGATTAAAAGAACTTGTATTTCTTTTGCACCTCACTTCATCTCGTTGGTGTCGTTTTGGAATACTCTGGTTGGCGCATCAGCAGGTGTGTCGGATCGACTAAGTTTGTTACATTTTTTCAACGTTCCGTTTGCAAAAAACAATACCGACAGTTAGCAAAAAGTAAAATGAGAGCGGCAAGAAAAACCTCGGAAACAACACGAAATTTTGTTTGTTGGAACAATCTATGATTTATAAAGGCCAGAAATGTTTCTTAATTCAATAATCAAACCTCAATAATCTTGTGAATTGAATAAAACCAGAAGCTCGAGAAGACGGCTACGCTGTAATGAAATGTAGGCAGATAGAGGTGCTGGGATGATGTTTCGAAAATTTAGATATATGTATGTTTTTATATGTATTTTTAATAAAAATTCTACAAAAATAAAAAAAAAACTAATAATGAGAAGAGGAATGAAGTTAGATGTTGGTCTTTTTGTAAGCGCACTTCTGTATAAGGTTTCCTACCCTAATAGGATGTTAACTTCACCGTGATAGGACGTTTAGTGATTTCCTTATTTGGTGATGGACCATTATATTACGAGACGTGTGGTGGCAGAGACGAGCAAGGGATTAGCAAACGTTTCGAGCTGGACAAAAGTTAATTGTGAAAGTTGATATTTGGCTAAAATGAGACTTATACATTACACTACAATGAGCGCAAATTAAAATTGAGGTTCGATTTGAGGATTCTCACGTTTGTCAATGAGCGAATACCTCGAAAAACGAGGCAAATATGGCATTTTGCAAATATGACGAATTTTAGGTTTTTTTTTGCAATAAAACGGTCTATTAGAAACCAGCCCCACTTTTTAACCCCCACCCCTGCTATTCCATCCCGACTTTTTAACCCCTCTTTTTATTTATGATACCACACCCACTTTTTCACCCCCCCCCCCCACTTTTTAGGTTTCACCCCCCCCCCCACTTTTTCACCGCACCTCCAAATTTGAAGTTTCTAACAATAATGTTTAGCAGTAAAATTTTTAACATTTTTTTTAATTTGCAATAATTCAAGTTATCAAGAGGAGATTCGCAGGATTGATGTCTAAATTAGATTTTTCAGAAACTGTGTATTGTTCTTATGAAAGGCTGAAAATTTTAACAAGTAATGAACTATTCTCGGAAAACCCGGTTCAGAAATATTTCGTATTTCGTAAGATTTTCGTATTTTCCAACAATTGTCAATATTTCAAGTGTCCAATTGTGCATTTTGATATCAAGCTTATTTGCAAGTCTTGCGCAAATCAAATATTGTTGAAAAATGACAAATGTATCCAGGTGTCGTAGGATCCTGCGTTTTGTACGCAATGCTAAGAGACAGTTACTGTAATCCTCGCAGCGATTTACGGGGACTTTTTGTTTAATTTCGCATATGGATTTTTTTATTTTTCGCTCAATTTTCGTATTTCCCTTCGAAATTTTGTAGTTTAAATTTTGCAGAAACCGAGTTTAATAATTTATTTAGCAGAATAAGCACCTTTAAACGATATTTTTTGGTAAAAACAGCAGAGATTTAAAAGAAAACATTTTTGTCATTAATAAAATTAATAAAATTATTTATTCGTGTTTTGCTTTTTGTACACGTTTCTATTATCTTGTTTTTGTATTCTTCATTTTCAAAATAATTTTTAGAGCGTCAAAATCTTCACAATAATTCCCAACTCAACTTGTCAAGTGGAAAAGTGCATATTCTGAAAATTAAATAATTAAACTTGGTTTCTACAGGTTTTAAATATAAGATTTCAAAAGAAAATAAGAAAATTCAGCAAAAAAATTGAAAGAAAATAAAAAAAAAACTCCGTATATCGCTGCGAGGATTACGGCAACTGTCTCTTAGCATTGCGTACAAAACGCAGGATCCTACGACACCTGGATACATTTGTCATTTTTCAACAATACCTAAAAGCAATTGTGGCAACCAAATCGGCTTAAATTTTTAGTACAATTTAACACGTTTAAGAAATATAAATTTACTTTTGAAAAACAATATTAAATTAGAAAGATTGGGGACCAATTAAATGGAACAAATTTATCAAAATTTACAAAAAACCAGCGAATCGAAGATCCTATATTGATGGAATGACATGGAACTACTGTCGAATGCATCCTGAAAGACACATAAATCATGGAATATTGTTGAGAGTGGTATAAAATTTGAAATATACGAAAAATAAAACAATCCTAAAAATTGGGAAAATATTAGTCATTTATTAATTTTCAGTCCTAAATAACCACTAATTTACAAAAATATACACTTAAAATACAACCATAATTAATTTAAATCCAATTTTGAAAGATTAACCGCAAAAATTCGTTAAAAATGGGGAAAAATGAGCTAATATTTCAAAAATCTAATTTTTAAAAATTGCACAGTTAAGCAAAAATGTTACAGTAACACTGCTCCTTTAAGCTGCCGGCCGTATTATTCTTACTTCAAATTTGTTTCTTTTCTCTAAAGTTTTTAATTACTTTTGCGGTTTATTCTTTCAAAATTGGATTTAAGTTATTTATAGTTGAATTTTAAGTGTATCTTTTTGTAAATTAGTGGTTATTTACGAGTGAAAATTAATAAATGACTAATATTTTCCCAATTTTTAGGATTGTTTTATTTTCGTATATTTCTAATTTTATACCACTCTCAACAATATTCCATGATTTACGTTTCTTTCAGGCTGCGTTCAACATTAATTCCATGTCATTCCATCAATATTCGTTCTTCGATTGTAATTTTTGGTAAATTTGGCCCATTTAATTGTTCCCCTATCGTTCTTATTTAATATTGTTTTTCTAAAATACATTTATATTCCTTAAACGTGTTAAATTGTACTAAAAATTTAAGCCTATTTGGTTGCCACTATTGTTTTTAGGTATTTGATTTGAGCAAGGCTTGCGAAGTAAAAGAAGAACTATAGCAAAATACAGAATTGGACACTTGAAATATTGACAATTGTTGGAATAGATTCACATTTACAAAATACGAAATCTGAACCGGGTTTCCGAGAATAGTTCATTATTTGTTAAACTTTTCAGCCTTTCATAAGAACACTACACAGTTTCTGAAAAATCTAATTTAGACATCAATTCTGTGAATCTCCTCTTGATAACTTGAATTATTGCAAATTTAAGAAATAAAAAAAAATTCACTGTTAAAAATTACCGTTAGCAACTGCAAATTTTGAAGTGCAGTGAAATAGTAGGGGGTGAAACCTAAAGATTGGGGGTTAAAAAGTGGGGGTTTTTTCTAGTAGACCGAGGTGGTGGTTTTTTTTAATCGAAACACTGAGAGTTTTTTTTTAAATGTAGATGTAGTCGCGTCCGCCTTCACACCGAAAAAAAACGTAGTTGATTTCTAATTTTCGTTTTACTACACTTGAATCGACGAAAATTTTTTTTTACAATTCATTTATTTTCTCGTTGGACAGTCCTAATTTTATGATTAAATAAATGAGCCGATATAAAGCTGGTGTTCTTTCTTAAAAAATTGTATCACTATATTTTATTTACCTATTAACACCCGTTTCCTGCTTTTCAAATTCGTCATCTGGATAGGTGTTGTTTACTTCTGTGTCACAAGAGTTCAAATCACTTGAACTCTCCGCAGTCGTTATGTTTTCATGATATCATAGTTTTACACGCTTTATTTTCATTTGTATAACGTTTTACCACCAGGACAATGGAACGTGAGCGACTTTTAGTTTTGCTCGTTTAAGTCCATGTTTGTACTTATGAGATAAATTATCTATGTACAACCTCGAGACAATATTCTCGTCGAAAAGTAGGAGTCAAAGAACATGTGCCATAAAACCATACATAAGTAGTTTTACTAAAGGGAAAGAAATTAAAACAAATATTGAAGCAACAATTAAACAGTTGATTACAAAATTAAGAGTTCAGTTTAACTTTTTTTGCATTTCGGCTTCAGTTGATTTTTACTGACGTTTTCGATAGGTGAATTGCCTACGACTCCGCTATCAATGTATAAAAGTTGCTGCCAAACTAAAAACAGTGTGAGAACTGCTTGCCATTTTTCTGAAATCAATGTTAAGAAGCTACAAAATGATCGCGTTACTTTTTCGATTTTACGCAGCTCAAGAAGAATTTTCGGTATTCCGGAAAGCTTGA